ATACACACACACACACACACACACACACTTTCTCTCGCTCACTTAGCCCTCTCGCTCTCCCCAAGATTTCCCTGGAATCCGGGGCGGAGGAGCGCGAGGGAAGGAAATCTCTAAGAGAAGACGGGTGAGATCTAGGGAGGGGGCGACCTCAGGAGGCCAGTCACACGGGGGTTGGGGAGGGACGGGAGCGAAGGGGTCACCTGCCAGGACGCACTGGGCCCCGCCCGCCGGAGGAGCTTGGAGGCCAGGACGGGAGTTGGGGGCGGGGAGCCGGCGGGCTGGCGGGCGGGCGGAGGGGGCGGGCTCTGGAGTCGGATCTCAGCGTGAGCAGGTGGAGCGCTGGCGGGAACCCGCCCGGCCCAGCGGAGGGAGGCATCGGGCCCCGCTGGGGCCATGGAGCTGCTCAGGCTGAACCGGAGCGTGCCGGGACCCGGACCCGGACCGGGGGCTTCTCTGTGCCGTCCCGGGGGCCTCCTCCTCAACAGCAGCAGTGCCAGCAACATCAGCTGCGAGTCCCCTCGCAACCGCGGAACCTGGACCCAAGGTGGGTGCCTCTCTCAGCTTCCTCCACAAGCTCCTTCTCACAGCTCCCCCACAGCACTATCAGAGGCTCCGCATAGCCTCAACATTGCCTCCTCAAACACCCCTAACGTCGCCCCCTTCGCAGTACATCCCTCGCTGCCCCTGACTCAGGCGACCCCCACATGCTCTTGAAATCTCCATCCTCGCTTCCCACCGTCTTCGCCACTGCCCCTGCACAGCCCACCCGCAATACACATTCCCCTCCTTGATCCCGAGAGTTTGGAGACATTTCTTGTCAACCAACCGGTCAGGTGTCTCTTTTCCCTTTACGTAAGTTCAAGGTGCCACACTGGGCGAGGGAAGGAAGAAAGCAAGGCAAGATTGGGGGAAAGGAGTCTGTTTGGAGGAGGCAGTATTCTGGAAGTCCTGAATCAGAAGTTGGAGTTGTATGAAATCTCCTATGTCCCCCCAGCCCTCCCAAATGAGATACTCATGCCTGAACCCCTGGGGACTGCTCCTCATTTCAGTCATCCTCAAATCCCTCTGCCTCCCAAGTTGGAGTTCTGAAGGCTCTGAGTTATCTTTCTGGCTCCAAATGTGTCTTCAAATCCCCTCCCCATCTTTGCTCTCCTAAGTCTCACCCTCCTTCTAGAACCAGGCTGCCCTTTTCATCCACCCATCCCTTTGTGTCACCACCATCTCCCCCTTCCCACTCTCTTCAGACTATTTCCAATCGTCCAGTCCTCTCATCAGCTCACATCAGCATTTTCTTGAAGAACCAGATCAAGATACATCTTTCTCTTCTTCTGCACATTACCTTTCTTTATACATTGATTGAATCTGATCTCCCAGTTCTGGAGACACAAGGATATCCCCATAGTCAATGCAGAGGACATAGAAACCAATGGGTGAATCACAGTCAGCATAGCAAATGGCATGAGAGAGTGCGTAAAAGAGAGAATGAATTCATTTAGACTGATGGGGTCCAAGAACTTCACAGAGAAGGGAACCTGGGAGCTGGGTCTTGCTTGAAGTTGGAGTTCATTCAGCCAAAAAGGAAGGAGGGGGGTTCCAAGAGAGGGAAGAGTGTTAAAAAAGGAAAAGTTAAATTGTAATTCATGCGTTTATTCATTCCACAAATTAAATGCATGCTTTCTCAACTTGTTACACATACTCACTTAGCTTCTTTCTGTCAACAAGTATTTATTGAATCAGAGACTGCTCTAGGTACCAAAGTATGAGTTGAACAAAACTGAAATAGTGCCTATTTCATAGAGCTCACAGTTTAGTGGTTTGAACCGACAAGTCACAAGGGAATTGCAGCCCCAAATGGGAAGTGCCTTATAAAGCTGTGGAAACACAGAAATAAGTACCAAACGCAGACTTGGGAATCAAGGTTGACCTCCAGAGGAAGTGATGTCTAAGGTGAAATTAGAAAGATGAGGGAGAGCTAGCTAAGTAAAAGGGAACCCAAACTAAGCCAAACCCACTGCTACCAATTCAGTTTTGATTCATAGAGACACTGTAGAGGGTTCCTGAGGCTGTAAATCTTTATGGGAACAAAAAGCCTCCTCTTTTTCCCACAGAGCAGCTTATGACCTTGTGGTTAGCATGCCTATCCTACAGTGCCACCAGGGTTCCTTAAGTAAAGGGGAAGAAGAGTCAAAAGCATCCCAAGCAGAGAAAATAAGTGGGTATACCCATGCCACTTTTACTCAATGTCATATCATTTCTGAGTGGCTGGAGCATCTGCAATTAGAGGGGAATAATGAACACTCTGGCTGGAGATCAAACTAGTATAATTTATTAAAAGTCTTGTAGACCTAGCTAAGGAGTGTGAATTTTACCCTGAAGGCAGTGGGAACCACTGAAAAGTTTTAAACCTGGATTCACTGTATAGAGGATGGATTGGAAGACAAGAGATGGAGGGCAGAGGAACACTTTAGAAGGTTATTACAGTCTTCCAGGTGAAAGACGATAGTAGTTTAACAAAGGTACTGTTAGTGGAGATGGAGAGAAGTAGATAGATTTGAGAGTGACTTCTGGAAGTAGAATTAACAAGACTTGGTGATTGATTAGAAGTGAAGAAGGAAGGAGTGGTCAAGGAATGACACCCAGATTTTTGGCTATGGCAATTGGATGGATGTTGGTAGTATAATAAATGAGAAGGATAACAAAGGAGCAGAGACAGGTTTGGAAGAGGAGATTATAAATTCAGTTTGGAACCCAGAGTTTAAATGCCAGTGGGCCATCCAGGTGGAATTGCCCAATACACTGTTAAACCCAATGGTCTGGAACTTAGAGAAGACATCTAAGCTAGAAATACAGATTTCAAAGGTCTCTGCCTAGAGGAGACTTTGGGAAGAGATAAAATTATCCAAATTGTATGGAATGAAAAGAAAAAAAGTCCTAAGGCAGGACCCTATGGAAACTCAATATTTAACGTCTGTGGAAGACATATATATAGACCAAGCTGTCAGGGAGACAGGGACTATGTCCTTCCAGAAACCAACAGAAAAGAGAGTTTCAAGCAAGGTGGGGTCCAACACCAAACTTGTTGCCATCATGGTGGTGGTGGTGTGTCATGGAGTCAGTTCCGAATCATAGCAACCCTGTACAGGGTTTCCAAGGCTGTATATCTTAATGGGAACAGAAAGCCTCATCTTTCTCCTGTGGAACAGCTGGTAGTTTTGAACTGCTGACCTTGAGGCTCACAGCCCAATTCGTAACCACTACACTACCAGAGCTCCTGCCATCATAGCAACCCTATATAAAAGGGTAGAACTATTCCAGGGTTATGGAAGCAGACTGCCACATCTTCTGTTGGGTTCTAACAGCCAAGCTTTCAGTTAATAACCAAGCACTTTACCACTGTGCCATACGGACTTTTTCAGGGTAGGGCAAATGATGTCAAATACTGTGATATAGTTGGGTAAGGATAGAACTGTGTCCTTCAGATTCAATAACAAGGACGTTCTTAGGTGAAATTGTGGGTGTTATCACATTACTGCAGTAGGTTAAAGATTGGGCCAATGGACTTCAGAAGTGAATCAAGACTAGCGCACACTTTCAAGACATTTTGTAGGGAAAGAGAAAAACAAAGATCATGCTGGAAAATCATGGCATTGGGAAAGGAGTGTGTGCATGTGTGTAGTCTTTTGGATATATATTTTTTTAGGTAACAGATACAAAATAGTTTATAAATGTTGGTGGGAAATGAGGTGAGGGAGAGAGAAGGTTGAAGATACAGAAGAGAGGAGAGAAATAGACAATGGAGCGAAAGCTCGTGAAAAAGCAGGATGTGAAGCCATTCAGAGCAGAGGTATAAGAAGTGGCCTCACACATCTGGAAGTTGCTACTAAAAAGTCAGAAGTTACCCACAGAGACACTGTCAGCTCTACTCACTCAGAGATGAGGAGGCTTCAAAAAGTTCATGGAAATTTTCCATTATCTTTTCAGTCAATTTTTCCATGAATTTTAAAGCCCCCTAGGATTACTCTCATAGGTGCATATGTTACCCAGGGTCATTCCAGTGTTACCAATAGAATTTATCCTGATATAATCCACAGAGACTTGAGTGGTACCCACAGAAATACAGGCATTGCACACACTCACTTCAATATTGTCCAGTCATTTAGATCTTACTCATCCTTGGAACAGTATTAATTTTCATTTTATTAACCACACAAAATCAGATGCTCACGTAGATAACCCTCCTCCAGATATCACCCCTAGAGACTCAGATACTACCTAGGCATATTCAGATGCTCAGTTAATTTCGCTCAGCCAGATGTTACTCATACTCACTTAAATATTGCCCACATATACTTGGATATGACTTCTACTCCTTAGCTATTACCATCATCATTTGGGTAGTCCCCATTGCCCACAGATCCCTTCCTCAAGATGTTTCCTATAAAATTAGATGCTATCTACAGACTCTTGGATATCAGCCTTGCTCATTCAAATGTTATAACACTTACTCAAATATTTCCTACATCTAAATGTTATCAACACTGAGTCAGTTATTACCTATAGACACATAGGTGTTAACCTTCTCCAGATATTACCCACAGAATTCATGTTACTCCCAGGTATTATCTCAAAGACAAAGATTTTACCTAAAGCTCTGTTTTTCCAAGTCTAAGGGCCTTTCTGGAGTCCTGATATGGGTTAATACGCTGGACTACAAGGTCAGTTTGAATTGCAAGGTCACTAGTTCAAGCTCACCAGCCGCTTCTAGGAAACCCTATACAGGGTTGCTATGAGTCAGCACCAATTCAATTGCACTTAACAACAACAACAACAACAAGGGCCTTTCTGATGGAGATCTTTCAAAAGTTCTTTATTTCCCCTTACATATACACACCTCAAATTTGCCACACATAAGCCTTTCCTACAAAGAGGGGCCCAGCTTCGAAATGAGACACAGATGATTTATATATAATAACAGAAGTAACGCATTAGAAATCACAGCTCATTACTGACCCCCCAAGGAGCCTCCAACATGAGTCTCCAAAGAGACAGAGACAAAGAGAAGGCATGCTGGAAATTTAGAGGTAAAGAGCTAGGTGTGGAAGGAAAAGGTTGGTGTACTTATATGGAGAGAGACAGAGATTCAAGATTCATTACTGAGCATTCATTGAGTGCCCCCTTTCTGCTGGACATCCTGCAAAGTGCTAAGAAGAACAAGATGAACATTATCCCTGTCCTCAAGAACTTCATAGTCTATGGGAGAAGGGGGGAGGAATTAAGCATCACAATACAGTGAAAACTGCTATATGGAATAGGGGGCACTGAGACTGAGATTTGATTAAGAGTAGGAGGCAGTGTGGTGAATTACAAAGGAACCAGGAATGGAAGGACGCCAAGTATTTTGAGTCTAGAGACCTGGTGTGGCGCTGTAGGATAAGCACTGGACCACAAGGTCAGTTTGAACTGAAAGGTCAACAGTTGGTTCAAACTCAATAGCCACTCCTCAGAAACCCAATACAGGGTTAATATGAGTCAGAACGGACTTGATGGCACTTAGCAACTTGCTAGCAACAAAAGAGAACTGGATTCTGTTCTGATTCTACTAGCTGATTTACTAGTAGAATTCTACTGTTCTGATTTACTAGCTGTGGGACCTTGGGCATGACTGCTGCGCTCAGTTTGGGGATCTCTCCTAAATAGCACTGTTGATATCTATAACAGCTTCTAGATAAGCTAATTATTGGTATGAAAAAAAAATGGTTCAATGTCAGGGCTAACACCAGAGTCAGCCAATGTATGGAGCTGTGGGAGAGGGTGCTGCAGCTATGGGCCTTCTTTCTCCTCATCTGGGATGCTCTGCCAGCTGCTCTTTCTACTTTCAAGCACCAATCTCCTTTCTTTTGAGGGCCAGGGGTATGGGTACTTCAATCCAGTTTAATTCCATTAAACTTGATCTAGATGCCTACTGGCCTAGAAGTCTGTGATATAGAGACCCAAAGATAAATTCATCTCCCAATAGAGATTTACTCAGGTTAATCCTGTCTCTGGTGGTGGTGGTGGTCATGTGCCATGGAGTTGGTTCCGACTCATAGAGACCCTGTACAGGGTTTCCGAGGCTGTAAATCTTTACGGGAGCAGAAAGCCTCATCTTTCTCCCATGGAATGGCTGGTAGTTTTGAACTGCTGACCTTGCGGTTCGCAGTCGGATTCGTAACCACTACACTACCGGATTAGGTGTCCTCACCTCAGATCAGGTGAGCTACCACAGCACCTTGCACATCCCTCAGTCTCACCCCTTATCATGCTTTGTGGAAATTGTCTGACACAGAGGTAGTTCTTTGTACGTGTCTATAGAGTGAGAATGAATGTTTGGGGATAATTAAAATACAAAGCAGAACATGAAAAGGATTCTAATATATAACAAAGATTCATGGATCAGAGAAAAGGAAAACTGATTGCAAATGCATTGCCCAGAAAGTCCTATCATAAGAGATGGCAAGTTGATCTTAGTCTTGAAGGACAAGGAGCTCACCAGATATAGAAGCTAACTTTGAAATGGGGGGATGAGGTTGGTGAAGGCGCATTCCAGGCTGAGAAACCAGGGTGAGCAAAAAGGGTGTCATGAGGCATATGATGTAATGAAAAAACAGAGTCATTCAGTGACTTAAGTGGAAGCATAGCAGGGAAGAAGGGAGAGGACAGTGCCCTTGATGATATACTAGGCAGTTACAGATAATATAAAAGTATGAAGAGTTTTTGTTTTTAAGAGAACAAGGACATGATCTGACCTGCGGTTCAAAAGGATCTTGGGTCAAACATATAGGGAGGTCAAACACAATAAGCTGAGAAAAGACCTTTCTTTGGATTTGGGAGTTAAAGCTTAATGACCTTGGGAAGAAGTTTCTAAACAGTGATGGAAGGCAGGATAGGTGGCCATTAGATAGTAATGGATTCAAGAGTGAATGGGAAGAGATGAACAATCTTTTCAAGAATTCTGGCTACAAAGAGAAGGAAGAATATGGAACACCCTTAAGAAGAGTCAAACTTTTTAAAGAAGGGATGAGCTAGGCCAGCATAACTGCCTCAAGAAGGTAAAAGAGCAAAGGATTCAAGTTCACTGTTAGGTAGTGGAGACTGGGGAATAGTGGAATTGAAGGGTTTGGTTCAGTGGGGACCCTTTTCACCGCCTTTTTTTTTTTTTTTCTCACCCAGAATTGGAGCTAGCCATTAGAATCACGCTTTATGCTGTCATCTTTCTGATGAGCGTTGGAGGAAATGTGCTAATCATCGTGGTCCTGGGACTGAGCCGACGTCTTCGGACAGTCACCAATGCCTTCCTGCTCTCTCTGGCAGTCAGTGACCTCCTGCTGGCTGTGGCTTGCATGCCCTTCACCCTACTGCCTAATCTCATGGGCACATTCATCTTTGGCACAGTCGTCTGCAAGGCAGTTTCCTACCTTATGGGTGGGTGAGATGACATTTTTCTCTCCCGTTCCCCTCCTACAGTTATTGTGGGATGAATGTAGGGATCTTTCCTAATGGGGTGTTGGGGAGTGCGGGAAACCACTCTCCCAGTGGTGAGTGTATAGTGCAATTTACCATGGTGGTCCCTTTTTCTCTCTTTGCTTAGGGGTGTCTGTGAGTGTGTCCACATTAAGCCTCGTGGCCATCGCCCTGGAGCGATACAGCGCCATCTGCAGACCGCTGCAGGCGCGTGTGTGGCAGACGCGCTCCCACGCGGCTCGTGTGATCATAGCCACGTGGTTGCTGTCAGGACTGCTCATGGTGCCCTACCCAGTGTACACTACGGTACAGCCAGTGGGGGCGCGTGTCCTCCAGTGCGTGCATCGCTGGCCCAGTGCACGCATTCGCCAGACCTGGTGAGGGTTCCCATGGCTTACATTTCTAGAAACTTCCTACTCCATCTCTACTGCATACTTAGGACCAGTCATAGGACCCTCCTCCAGCTGCTCTACAAGTTAGCCCACCAGTTCCCTTTTAGCACCCACACCCAAAATTCCATTTGAGCCCCACCCCCACCCCCACCCCATCCCAGATCCTACTCCTACCTCTGGGATCCGGCCACCAGCCCTAGTAACACTAATCCTTGGTTCTTCCCCACGTCTCTGATGAGATGGTTGGACAGAGACCTCCATGATCTGTGTTCTGTCTACAGGTCCGTGCTGTTGCTCCTGCTCTTGTTTTTTGTCCCGGGTGTGGTTATGGCTGTGGCCTATGGGCTAATCTCCCGCGAGCTCTATCTAGGGCTTCGCTTTGACAGTGATATTGACAGCGAGAGCCAGAGTCGGGTCCGAAGCCAAGGAGGACTGCAAGATAGGAAAGGACCAGGTGGGCAAAAAAAACAAAACCTAACGGGCAGAGCCTGAGATAGTAGACTGGAGATTCGGGGAGTAGTGAGACCTAGAGTGAGCAAGGCGGGAATAACAAGCAAGAATAGAGGTGACACTGGAAATGAGGCTAACGCTGTATGTAGGGCCAGGTGGGGCCTGCACTGGAGGTTGGGAGGACGCTGCCTTCTGCTCTAACCTGACACCCTCTGTGCCCAGATTCTGCCCACCGGAATGGGCATTGCCGTCTTGAGACTGGTGAGGACGGTGATGGCTGCTACGTGCAGCTTCCGCGCTCCCGGCCCGCACTGGAGCTATCCGCACTGACGGGGCCCTCTCCTGGCCTCCAACCGGTCCAGGCAAAGCTGCTGGCCAAGAAGCGCGTTGTGCGGATGTTGCTGGTGATCGTTGTGCTTTTTTTCCTATGTTGGCTGCCAGTGTACAGTGCCAACACATGGCGAGCTTTCGACGGCCCTGGTGCGCACCGCGCGCTCTCAGGCGCACCGATCTCCTTCATTCACTTGCTGAGCTATGCTTCCGCCTGTGTCAATCCTCTGGTCTACTGCTTCATGCACCGCCGCTTTCGTCAGGCCTGCCTAGAAACGTGTTCACGCTGCTGGCCCCGCCCTCCACGAGCTCGCCCCAGACCACTTCCAGACGAAGACCCTCCCACCCCTTCCATTGCTTCCCTCTCCAGGCTGAGCTACACCACCATCAGCACACTGGGGCCCGGCTGAGTTTAAGGGGGCGAGGGCTGTGGCAGGACAGAGACTGATCCCTACAAGCTGGCACCCACGTAGACACAAAAGAAACAGACCAAAACTGACACTAGAGACTGACACCTGACAGTTTGGACTAACCCCAAAGCACAAAACCAAGACGGCTTACCTGACAGACCCCCCGCCCCGCGCCCCCCATACACACACAAGAACTGAGGCACATTGTGGATGTGGGACTCAGCCAGTTACCTAGAAACATGGCACCAACCCTGGACAGAGAGGTCCGAGTGGTGGCTGTGCCTACACAGTAGGAACTCTCCGTCTCACACACATGCTGCAATGGCGAGGATTCCTTTAGGGGACTTACAATGGCAGTGATTTTCTTAGGGCACAGGACTGTCTGCTGGGATGCTCCAGGCTGTCTCCAGTTTAACTTTACAGTGCCCTTTCCCTGTTAAGTTGTTAAGTGCCGTCAAGTCGATTCCGACCCATAGCGACCCTGTATAGGGTTTCCAAGGAGCAGCTGGTGAGCTTGAACCGCCGACCTTGCAGTTCAAATGGCTTTGCAGTCTGGCACATTAACCCACAGCGCCACACCAGGACTCCAACAGGTCTAAAAGCATCCCTCCCTGACCAGCAGACTGTTTTGCACTGAAAAAATCCCTTCATCCCTTTCCAGTTAAGGACTGTGACCCTGTCCCCTGCTCCCTCAACTGCCCTCTTCAAAAAATAATAAATGATTTGGCTTTCTCTTGAACTTCGTCTACAGTTTTGTTTGTTTTGGGTTTTGGAGCATAGAATTTTGTGGAGTCCTCCCTGTCATTTGACCTCCATCATCTGCTTGCAACTGTGCACAATCCCCTGCCCCAAAGCCCCAGGTTTGAGGTAAGGTAGGGTTCGGTACGTGTATTCTTCCTGTATTGTCATCCTTGATCCAGCTACATGTCAGTGTCCTGGTAACTGGGAACAGGAGGGGGAGAGGGAGTTGGGTAGCTATGACACATCATGACTCCTGAGCACATTTTCCAGAAGTGGCTCCATTGTTAAGGTCCTATATTGATAGATGGCTGTTAAGATCTTGATGAAAAGATAAATAAGCATTGTACAAGACTCACTTTATTCAATGTGTTTGATTTACTAGAGATCAGACCATGGCAGGTGTGCATGGGTTAATCAAAGAGTCGGGCCCTTTTTAATTGTAAAAATAGATGAGGGGGCTTCAAAAAGTGGAAAAATAGAATGAAAAGATAATGGAATTTGCCCAGGAACTTTTTGAATCCCCCTCAAATGTAACATTTTTTTCCCCAATTCAACATGTTTCACATGTACAATTCAGTAAGACCAATTGTATCAATCATGCTGTGCAACTCTCACCAATTCCCATGGCCAGATGTTCCATAAACAGAAAGTCTGTGCTTTCTAAACATTGCTTCCCCTTTCCCTCCCCCTCCCTCCTGCCCTATTAAACTCTGATCTCTACATTTTCCTTTTCTAGGTATTTCATATATTGAGATTTTACAAATGAAATGCGTATAGTTTTTGTCAAGAGTTGTTGTTGTTAAGTGCTGTTGAGTTGGTGTCAACTCCTAACGACTCTGTATAGGGTTTCTAAGAAGCGACTGGTGAGTTTGAACCGCAAGGTCGGAGGTTCAAGCTCCCCAGTTGCCGACCTTGCGGTTCAAACCAACTTTGCATTCCAGCACATTAACCCACATCGCCATACCAGGACTCCTTTGTCAAGAGTGGTGGTGGTGGTGGTGGTTATGTGCAGTGGAGTCGGTTCTGACTCATAGAGACCCTGTACAGGGTTTCCAAGGCTGTAAATCTTTACAGGAGCAGAAGGCCTCATCGTTCCACCGTGGGACAGCTGGTAGTTTCAAACTGCTGTCCCTGAGGTGAGCAGCCTGATTTGTAACCACTACAAATGCATTTACTCTTCTCCAGTGCCAAAACCTAGCCAAGCTTTTCTACCATAGAAACACCTTTACTGGCCCATCAACAGCAAAGAGGTTTGGAGCTGGGGGCAGGAGACTGGAAACAGAGTTGAATGTAAGTCTCAGAACCCAGCCTACATTTTTTTAACTGTGAGACTCTAAACCAGTCCCAGAGAAAGGCAGATACCAGCAACATCATACACAATGACAAGCAGATACGAAAGGACAGAACATGATAATAGTGCCAAAGGGGTAGATACAGAGAATCAGAGGCATGGTATGTTGGGAGAGAGATTCTTTGACTTCCATCTTGCAACAGATGGGGAAACTGACACCCAGAGCAGGAAAGAAATTTGTCCAAGATCATTTAATGAATTAGAGCAAGGCAGAAAGAATCATATTAGAGACTGATCTGAGATGGATAAAAAGCCACACCCATCAGAAACAGAACTAAGTTTTGGGGACTTGAAAATTATTAGATTGGGTGGTCTTTTTAAAGAAAAGTAATACAAAATTATAGATATGAAATTGCTAGGCGCCTGACCAGGGCCTTGGATGGGGTCTGTGTAAATGAAAGTTAAGTTCCACTAGGTTCACAGCCAACATGTCTGTAAAATCTGCCCACTCACTATGCTAGACAAAGATTGGATGGAGTGAAAGGCAGTGAGAAAGGAGAGTAGGTCTTCTGTTTACCAGAGCTGGGGCTGTTCCCACCCACCATTTCCAGAGTCTGGGCTGTAGGAGAGAGGAAGAGAAGGAGGGAGGAGGCGTTCTAAGCTGTCAACAGTGCTGGTTAAAAATAGAATCCCAGCTGGTCTGAGGAACCAAAGGCGAAATATTGGGCCTCTCTCTCTCACGCCAAGTTTTCCAGGTGGTTGGAGTAGGGTTGCCTGTAGGCACTGAAGCACCCCCACTCCTGCCCCATTCTACCTTCAGAAGACCTGTGCCTTGATGAAGGCTGCCCAGCTGCCAGCCCCTCAACTGAGGCTTGAGCACCTGATGACCACCAGATGGCAGCAGGGAGCTAGGCATGATGGCGCAGCACTGCCTCTTTCAGTATAATTACTGTTATTTTACACAAATAAGGAGGGCGTTATATGATTCTTCTTTTTTTTTTTTTTTGGCAAACCTTTTTATTTGCATTAGTTCCCTATGCACACACTGTGTGTGCGCGCGCCTTATTTACTTGGTTATATTATATAGGTAGCGTACTGGTTACGGGCTGTGAACCACAAGGTCAGCAGTTCGGAACTACCAGCTGTTCCGCGGGAGAAAGATGAGGCTTTCTGCTCCCGTAAAGATTTACATCCTCGGAAACCCTGTACAGGGTCGCTATGAGTCGGAACCGACTCCACGGCACATAACAACACACAACAACAATTATATAGGGAGACACATGTATTGTGGAAGTCCCTGGGAGGAAAAAATAGTTAAGTATTGGACTACTAACCAAAACATGGGCAGTTTAAACCCACTCAGAGGCAATTTGGAAAATCATAGCCTTGAAAACCCTATAGAGTCAGTTCGCGGCAAAATTGTCTCAATGATCATTAACCTGAGAGCTGGTATACAGGCATGGTGTGAACAAAATCACATCCCACACTATGCAACCTATGGGAATATTTGCACATTCATTATCCCACCCTATACTCTATCCGGATACCAAATGTGGAATTTTGGGCTCCTCACGTATTTTCATCTCTTAAAATCTGGTAAAACATTTCAGGTCCAGATTTAGTATCACTGTCTCCATGACAAGTCACAGTTGCTTGGTTGTCCTAGCAGAGCTTGTCTGCTCATATAGTACTTACTCATTTCTTTCTTCGATCGTAATTATTTATGTTCCTTCATGATTTTTTCCTAATGAGTTGGGAACAGCTGATGTAGAGGAAAGATGTCTGAGCCTGTACTTAGAAGGTGGGGTGATGGAGGGGTGGTGGTGAAATCTAATGCTTCTTGAAGCTAGGTGACAGGCACTTTATATATACCATTTCATTTCATTCTCAGAATATTTCTACAGATCATTTCATTTGATAGATGAGGAAAGTGACGCCATGAAAGCTTCAGGGAGTTGCATGGGAGCTTATCATTTCTCAGGTACATAGCATAAAAGGGTCAGACTTGAGATTGCTTTCAGACCAGCTAGGAGCAGCAGAGCTAAGAAACAAGACCCTCTGTAGAGGAACAGCCACCCATAATTTAAGGAGACAGAACTTTGGGTCCAAGGGGAGGATCAGGAGCTGCTATGCAACATATTAAATCAGGATTTAAATCCAGATCTAAAGCCCATACTCTTTCAACTGTCCATCCTGATTCTGAACACCCATTCCAGATTGGGGACTCTTCCCAGGGCTCAAAGTAGAAGAACACCTCCACAAAACAAGAGGGAGGAGACTGTCCTAGAAATCTCACCCCTCTCACACCTTCCCAGAAAGCACGTCTCAGGGCTAAGTCTAGGAAACACTGGGATACATGGGAACTGCCAAGTGTGGGAATCATCACAGTGAGCATGCACAGGGGAGAACCTAAGCTCAGAGGCTGGCTTCTCTCACAGACATCTCAAGCCAGAATTTTGGATAATTACACACTCTGGTTAGTCAAAGCTGAGTAGAGGAAAGCAAGGGATGCTTTGTAGAAGGGCTTTGTTCTTTCTAATTATCCTTAGGAGAGGGCAGATGGGATGAAAGGAAATAAAGTAAAGACTGAGGGGAAGAGAGAATGCCTTAACCAGGGTCCAAGCTTTAATGCTGAGACATAATGCCAGCCTGGAAAAGACAACTCTTTTTTTTTTTTTTTTTAACTTTTTGTTGTGAATTGAGTGAAGGTTTTGCATTCAACAAATCATACCATTTCGTCTCAAAGATCACAATCCCCTCCATGCAACAATAGTTATCCTGCTTCCTCCCAATGGTTCCTATTTGCATTCCACACACCTTTCCACCCCTTCTCATCTTTGTCCTTAAGAAAATGTTGCCCTCTTGATTTAGAATGATTAACCATTCCATGGTGAGCATACCTTACTACTGTTGTTGTTGTCCCCCCTATATATCTATCTGTTGCTTGGCTAAATATTGGGGCCACATG